AGTTGTTCAAATGAAGTTCTTCGCAATGCATATTACTAATCAAAACTGAAGTTTTGATATATTCACGGTAGGAAATGTACAAAATGATCTTTACTTAAAATCCAAATGATTTTTGGCATAAAAGAAAAATCTATAATTTTGACCCATACAATGTATTGTTGGCTATTGCTACAAATATACCCCAGCGACTCAACACTGCTTTTGTGCTCCAGGGTCACATGTTATCATTTCAATTAACGATTTAAACTATTTTAAATGTGTTTTACTCCAGCAAGCGGAGGTACCAGAGGACAGTGATGATGAAGCTGACCCAGACGAGGTGTTTGGATTCATCAGCATGGTGAACCTCACTGAGAGACAGGTGATAATACTAGTATTTATGAGTGATAACATGAATATCTCGTGAGTTTGCGGCTCTGGATTGTGCTGTTTGTGTCCCGTCTGAGAGTCCTCTGTGTGTTGATCAGGGTGTGGAGTGTCTGGAGAAGCTGAAGGACATGCTTATAGAGCAGTGTGCTAAAGCCAGCTCCCCGGATGTTCAGGAGGGGTTCGAGCAGCTGCTGCTGGGTAACGGACACTCTGTCGGGCTGCTGCTGAGCGAGAGATTCGTCAACGTCCCGCCACAGATCGCCCTCCCCATGCACAAACAACTTCAGTAAGTGTTTAATGGTCCTGACCAGCAGAGGGAGTCTGAGTGTGTGCATCTGAAAATAACACAGATTGGGTACAAAACTTTCAAAATTTCTTAAGGCAAGACACTACATGCAAAAACATAGTTTTTTTTGTTGACATTGTGCACTGGTCAGTTTTGAGATTTTGCTTTATTTGGCTTTTCCTAATGTGTTGTTCAGACTAGTGGAGAGAAAACTACTGAAATACACTCGAGTGTTTATTTAATTGCACTATTGCATCTATTAGTGTCTGTAGATTTCAGCTGCAGTGCATATCTTTAAAGGCTTTTTGGTAAAAAAAATAAATACGTTTTTTTTTTTCCTCCACTTCAGCAGCACTTACACTGCCGGTCAAAAGTCTGGGATCAGTAAGACTTGTGATGTTTTTTTTTTTAAAGAAGTCTATTATGCTCATCAAGGCTGCATTTATTTGATCAAATATACGTTATTGCAAAATGTTATTACAATATAAAATATCCTATTTTAATATCCTTTAAAATATAATTCATTTCTGTGATGCAAAGCTGAATTTCCATCATCATTACTCCAGTATAAAGTGTCACATGATCTTCAGAAATCATTCTAATATGCAAATTTATTATTAGAATTATCAATGTTGGCAACAGTTGCACTGCCAAATATTTTTTTGGAAACTGCGATACTTTTCAGGATTCTTTGATGAATAAAAAATTTAAAAGAACAGCATTTATTCAAAATATGAATCTTCTCTAACAATATAAATCTTTGCTATCACTTCTTATCAATTTAACACATCCTTGCTGAATAAAAGTTTTAATTTCTTTCAAAAAAAGAAAGAATATAAATGTACTGACCCCAAACTTTTGAACGGTAGTGTATATTGTTAGAAAAGATTTCTATTTTAAATAAACTTTTTATTCATCAAAGAATCCTGAAAAAAATTATCACAGGTTCCAAAAAAATATGAAGCAGCAACTGTTTCCAGCACTGATAATAAATCCGCATATTGGAATGATTTCTGAAGATCATGTGACACTGAAGACTGGAGTAATGATGCTGAAAACATAGAAAAACTTTATTTTACATCTTAATATTTCACAATATTAAATTTTTTCCTGTATTTCTGATCAAATAAATGCAGCCTTGATGAGCAGAAGAAACTTCTGTAAAAAAACATTAAAAATCATTCTGATCCCAAACTTTTGAACGGTAGTGTACATCAAACTTCAGTTTTATTCTTATCTATATTCTGAAGATTTTTTCAGAGGGGTTTGTTCATATATCATTGGCCTGATTTTATACATTTTATTCCTGACAGGGTTATTGGAGTTAACTAAAACTAATTTCTGTTGCTTGAAATAAAATAAACTTGAACTGTGAATACTTTCCGTACCCACTGTATATATATATATATATTTTTTTTATTTATAAACTTAAACTTATTTTATTTCAGCTAGTTGCCAAGGCAACATCTAATTTTCATTAAATTTACCTTGATATAATAAAAAACTTAAATTAAAACTATAAACATTAAAAAAGCTAATAAAAATGACAAAACACAAATGTACTAAAGATTTAAAAGTTAAAGAGAAAATATAAAAGTAAAATTCAAAATAAACAAAAACAAATCAAAATATTAATAACTATAATAGTATCTCAATAATACTGAAATCACACTGGTTCCTAAAAACATGGTGATTTTATTTATTTGCTGTTGATAATATTTTCTGACTTTAAAAAGAAAAATCCAAAATCCTCTCTGTAAAAACCTTTAACTCGAATATGTCAACAAAATAAAACAAGAATTTAACTTGGCTTTATCCAATATTCAGATTTCAGTTCTGGAAATGTATGCAAATAAGTCCATATTTAATTAGATGATGTCTCACTTGCATTAACATAACATTTTAGAACATTTCTTATACAAATCATGTTTGAAATTCTTAATCAGTCAATCAATTCTTAATGTCTAATAATCAGCCAACTGGCAGAGTATCTATTGGATACATTTTACACACTATTCACATCTGGTGTCTTGCCTTAAAAAAAAAAAAGGTAATTGAAAAGCAAAATGTTATTTTAAAAAATCATAAAGTGTGCATGATCAGTTTAAGCAATTATATTTCACACATCAACCAGCAGATATCAACTTAAAAAAAAAAAAAAAAAAAAGAGACCCAGTTCTTCCATTGTCACATCTTCGAGTCATTGCTGTCGTCCTGCTGGAAGATGCAGGCAAGCGTTACTCAGCTGCAGGCTGAATGCGTCACAGTGTGATTGATGCCCAGCACTAATGCCATCACGTGGCTTTATAAAGATCTTATGTAACCGTGTGTGTCTAATGTAGGTCAGCCACATTACATCCCAGAATCCCTGTAAACATGAGTGAAGTGTTTCACCATTAAACAAACACACATTTCTCCTGTTTCTAAAACATTCACAGAAGTAGTTTGAGAAACAGTTCATGCTGATATAACGTCTGGTTTCACAGGAAGGAAATGGCTGAAGCACAAAGGACCAATAAACCCAGCGGTAAATGCCAGTTCTTCCTGATGATCAGTAAAACCTGCAAACCAGCCAAGAAGAGCACGTCTGGTCCAGCTCAACCCAAAGAAGAGCTGCTGTTTGTGAACGATGAGGAGGAGTTCTTCTATGAGGTCAACTTAACACTCAATGTATTCTGAAAATGTATTCTGTATTTTATTTCTTGTATATAAAATACAGAATATGTATAAGGGACAATATATATATATAATATGAATATAAGAATAGTGTATTTTTCTGTTATTTTAATTGTAAGGTTTTTAATTTTAATAGTTTGTCTATATACTTTTTATAAATTTTTACTACCTGAAATTATTTATTTTTTTATATATATATATATATATACACACATACATACACACACATTTATATATTTTTTGCAATGTAATTTTAAAGTTTTAGTGATTTTGTTGTGTTTTGCCAATTGAATTTTTTTATGGAACTAGCTGAAATCTTAGTGCTGTAAAATTGATTATTTGCATCCAAAATAAGAGTTTGTATTTACATAATATATGTGTGTACTGTGTATATTTATATCTACATATATTTGTATAAATATATACATACAATACACACATAAGAAATCGTATTTATATGTAGATATAAATATACGCAGTACACACACACGCATATATATATATATATTATGTAAATACAAACTCTTATTTTGGATGTAAATAATCAATCTTAACACTCAATGTATTCTGAAAATGTATTCTGTATTTTATTTATTGTATATAAAATACAGAATATGTATAAGGGACAATATATATATATAATATGAATATAAGAATAGTGTATTTTTCTGTTATTTTAATTGTAAGGTTTTTAATTTTAATAGTTTGTCTATATACTTTTTATAAATTTTTACTACCTGAAATTATTTATTTTTTTATATATATATATATATATACACACATACATACACACACATTTATATATTTTTTGCAATGTAATTTTAAAGTTTTAGTGATTTTGTTGTGTTTTGCCAATTGAATTTTTTTATGGAACTAGCTGAAATCTTAGTGCTGTAAAATTGATTATTTGCATCCAAAATAAGAGTTTGTATTTACATAATATATGTGTGTACTGTGTATATTTATATCTACATATATTTGTATAAATATATATACATACAATACACACATAAGAAATCGTATTTATATGTAGATATAAATATACGCAGTACACACACACGCATATATATATATTATGTAAATACAAACTCTTATTTTGGATGCAAATAATCAATTTTACAGCACTAGATAACATTAAGTTAATGTTTGTGTTTCAAGTAAATTCTTTTATGGTTTTAGTTTTATTTAACTATAATAATAACCCTGCTTTTACTAATGAATTGACTTTCCCAGTTGTTTACTAAAAAAAAAAATGATAGAGGTTGCAGTCGCAAAGTTTCTAACCAATTAGATGTTTCAGAGTCAAACATTACTGGAAAAATATTTAGAGAAATGTCCATGATTTTATTAATTGCAATGGTCCATTTTGATCATATGATCCCTGAATTTAGTCTCAAATGCATAAAAACATTTTTTCTTGTCTCGACAACACGCTCGTAAACATTTTCTTTGTTTCACAGCAAGCCACACTGAAGTTCAGCTACTGCGTTCAGGACGAGGCTGATTCCTGTGCGACGGGAAAGTGGTCTTATGATGATGTACCGATGAAACCGTACCGCACAGTGATGGTGATCCCGACGGACAGGATGGGAGCCGTCATGGATAAAATGACTGAATATCTGACCGTCTGAAGCATCCAACACTGAACTCTGCTCTTCTTTGTTCAAGAAAATAAAAAAAGATGTTTAATGCCCCAGGCCTTGAGTTTAAGGCATAATGTATAAACTGGCCACAAAACAGTTTGACACCAAATCACCCAAAACCAGTGAAATAATTTATTTCTGTACATAATCAGATGAAATTGCCCACAAATAAACCACCCAAACAGGATTCTTTGAGTATCTTTTCAAGCGTTAACAATACAAAACATTTGAACACTATTTACACAAGAATGATTTGATGAGGTTCACTGTACGACACACCGGTCATGTGATTCGGCCTCTTCTGTCTTTGTTTCCATCGCGGCTGGTTGAGGTTTTGTTCTTGCATTCCCCGTCCTGTCTCTGTCCAGAATGTGCTGCAGGATCTCTTTGCTCTCACTAGGTGGCAGATTACAGAAAAAATACTGCGGCACCATTTGAAGGAACCTGAAACAGAAGGGAACAAATACTTTTATTCAGTAAGGATGCAAGAAATTGATCAAAAGTGACAGTAAAGACATTTATAATGGTTCTATTCCATTTCAAATAAGTGTTTTTTTTCCCTTAAAAATTCCAAAAAAGAAAAAAATATCAATTTCTACAAAAATATGAAGCAGCACAACTGTTTTCAACATTAACAATAATCAGAACGGTTTCTTAAGCAGCAAACCAGCATATTATACTGATTTCTGAAGATCATGCGACACTGAAGACTGGAGTAATGATGCTGAAAATACAGCTGCGTATCACAGAAATAAATTATACTTTACAATAGAAAACAGTTATTTTAAATTGTAATAACATTTCACAATATTACTGTTTTTACTGTATTTTCGATCAAATAAATGCAGCCATGGTGAGCAGGAGACATCTTTAAAACTTCTCAAAAAAAAATCTTACACCAAACATTTGAACAGAAGCATATATTACTGCAATTTTTACATTTTCATTAAAAGTTTTGATTGAATTGTCAAGAACAAACTGTTTTAATAAACTAAAACATTTGAAATAATAAAAATAAATGTATTAATTTTTTTTTTTTACTTTTTTTTTTGTTAAATACAATTAATAAAAAAAATAATGAATGAATGATTAAATACATAAATGGAGATCAAAACTTGTGAAAAAAATGGTTATGAAACTACTAAAATAAGTGGATGTCAGAGAAATTAGTAATATATAAAAAAAGAAGAAAATCACAAAGAAAAATATTATATACAGGTGCATCTCAGTATATATATATATATGTATGTGTAAAAATAAATATACATTACTGACCCTACTTTTGAACAGATTATTTCATTAACATTTTTGATTAAATTGAACAAACTGTTTTTAAAAGTACCAAAAAAAAAAAAAAAGACAATTGCTGAATTAAACAACTTGAGCAGTGAAGCAAACTACAGTTTATCTTTGATTAATATATATATATATATATAAATTTATTAATCAATGTTCACAGTGTTGCAGAATTCATTAAGTAAAAGGCTTGTTTTCCATTACCAGAATTGTAACATTTATAATTATTTCCAGGATGTTCATAATGTTTACATCTGCTAAATAAATGTAAGAATAGCAAAAGTGAGCAGCAGCGGATCTGCTTCAATCCTCATGTGTATCTGAAAAGCTCTCTATTGTAAGACCAGATTACTAATGATGACACGTCAAAAACATGATCATGTTTGTCAGAGTCAGTGCTAAAGCAGGAGCTGTTCATGTGCTGGAGATATGAGGAGGACACACACTTACGCCTGCGGAGAGATCTGTGTGACGGTGCGGATGCAGTTGTTGTCGGAGAGGTTGTACTCGTGGAACAGAATCCACTCCGGCAGACCCAGTTTATGAGCTTTTGCTCCGTAACCCGACAGACGGTGAACCTGAGCCACGTGTTTGTTCAGCAGCATGAAGTAATTCCCCGAACCGTCCACATCTCTGGCAATCTGAGGGACACGAGACCGATGATGGAGACATATTTAAGATATATAAATATAAATACAGCTCAAAGCTTTAATGAAGGTTATGAAACTTTATAAGTGGACCTCAGGGAAATAAACTGAACTACAGTAAACAAACCTAAAATGTTTTAAAAATACAAATATATAAATACAGCTCAAAATCTATGAAAAAAAAGAGAAAAAGCTATAAAAAGTTATGAAACTTGATCGGCACTCCAAGGGGACCTTAGGGAAATGAGTGAATAAAATAAAAATATAATAAATAAATATAGGTCAGAAAAAAAATGGTTATGAAACATTAGAAGTGGACCTCAGAGAACTAAGTGAATGAAAAAAAAAAAATGTAT